TGGGTGGGTCTAGGGGTTCCCACACAGTGTTTGGGCATGTCTTTCACCTCTTTTTTTTTGGCTCCTGATCCATTCAACAATTTCATCAAAAGCCTAGCGTTGAGAAACTGCATGTACACGCAGGGAGAAATGGTATTGGGAAAGTGCATCCGCCGGGAATCGACCCGGGTCCATATCGCTTAACCCCATCATGGATAGCTGAACCCTTATTCAGAGGCAGTTCAGGCATTGTGTGATCAGGCAGATGGGCCAAGTTAATCTTAGTCTGAATCAGACCAGCTTCATTCTGAAGCGGACCATCATCAGAGGCTCTTCCTGATGCTATACAGCGGCAGCCTCTGAATCAGACCACCTTTTCTCTGCTTTAGAGGCCAATCAGAGGCACCCCCGGAATCAGACCCTGTTCAGACCAGCAGAGGGGGTGCACGATGCGTGTGTAAGGATGCAAAAGGTTAGCAAGACAAAATACATTCGCCGGGACTCGAACCCGGGTCCCATCCTCTGTCTTCAAATGGGAAGGATGGATCATAAAACCCCTAGACCACGGACGCTTTGGAATCAATTCACACTCAATAGCTCTGTTAAGCTGTCCTTACATTTGATAGTAACATTATATAAATAATTAATTTGACCAAATCTGAGCTTGATCAGAAATGTTTCTACGAGTGTATCAAAGGCTTTCAGTGACCAATTGGAAATTTTCTATTAATTCAAAATTTGATCAAACCAGCAAAAACATAAAATCAATAAGTAAATGAAAGAATAAAAAATAAAATATATGACCTGAGGCTTTTTCATTGGACAGCTCTGGGGCCACCCTCGCGGTCCCCTTCTCACCGTGGTCAGCTTGTGGGAGGGCTCTGCACAGCAGGGCTCTGTGGGCCACACTCCGGGGCCTTCGACGTCCTGCTCCAGCATGCTTACCTTCCAGCAGCAGGCAAATCTTTCAGGGGGCCACCCTCGGGTCCCCTCCTACCCACCATCCCTCTCTCCTCTTGGTCATCTGGGGGGCTCAGCAGCAGCAGCAGGGCCTGGCCAAGACCTCTATCCTTCCCCCCTTCTCTCCGCGTTGTTTGCTGTGCAATGCTAGCGTTCTCTCTGTCTTCCCGACCTCCCTCGTCGTTGTTTTGCTGCGCAACACCTTCTCCCCATGAGGCCCATCTCCCCTCCTTCCGTTAACGCTCATCCCCCCTTCCCCCTCCCTCTCCAACGTCTCCCTCACTTCCCAAACTCTCCCAGAGACCAGCAGCAGCAGCAGCAGCAGCAGCAGCAGCAGCAGCAGGAGTAGCAGCAGCAGCAGCAGCAGGGCGCCGGTCCAATACTTGTCTCAGCCATGTGGTTTACCACTCCCTCCAGCCTCCCTTCTTCTGCAAACCATCCTTGCGGGTCTGCCTTTCTGCCTTGGCCAAGCGGGGGGCTCAGCAGAGTCCCGGCMTTTGCACCTGCCTCTGACACCCTTCTTCTCTTGCTCCCCCATGTACCCTCTTCTCGTGCTAACAACAAACCTGCTGCACGCATTCATGTAGTGGGCACCTTTCAAGACCATCCCCACGAGTTCCTTCATGACTTGGCCACGTGGGGGGCTGTGTGGCACTGTGCGCAGTTCCGGCCTTGGGCTCATGAGGGCCACCCTCTGGACAGTTAGTGCTTCCTGGCTGGTGTGGCTCTCTTGTTTCCTTGGGGTCTTTGCGGGCGTGTGGGGTTCAGTCTAGCCGCTGGTAGCCGCCCGTAGCGAGGAATTTCGACCGTGCTAGGCACCTGCATTGTGATGCTCTGACTTGCTGTAGGTCAGGAGTCTCATGCCGTTCGGGTAGCCCAGCTGTCCATGGTTTTTTGTCTGTCTTCCAACAAACCAACTCACCATTAAGGACTGGGACCAGTTCGTCGGTACGGTATGGACCCGGGTTCGATTCCCGGCGGGCGCAAAGTAAATCTTGTGCACCCAGGAGCACAGGGGCTCCCCCATCAGACATCAACATTACAGGCTGAAAAACACAAAAACTGTGTACTGTAACTGGCTGCTCACAAGATTTGCGGTGTTGCGACCCTTAGAAAGATCGTGCCCCTTAGACAGTTTGGCTTTAAAATGGGCCAGACCTGCTCATGTCCTAAAGCAAAACGTGAACCTGAACATGAACTACTTTAGATCATAACCCCTAGACCACGGACGCTTTGGAACCAATTCACACCCGATGGCTCCGTCAAGTTGGTCTTTCGTGCGATAGCCCCAAAGTGGTGGCGGTGTGTACACTTTTTAGTAGGAAGCGCTTCCTGCGCCGGCGCGCCTCTTGTACACCGTCCCTGTACACCGCCCCTGTACACCGGGGGGCCACAGGGGCGGTGTCCCAAATTTCTAAGCAAACCCCGAATCCGATGCGCATGAGGTATCACCTGCACGCAGAGCTCACATGCAGTATCAACCATATTAGGACACTCCCCCCACCCTATTCATTTCTACAAAGTCAAAGCCCACTCTGGCATTGTAGGAAATGAGGGGGCTGATGCTTGCGCTCGCACTGCAGCCCTCTTAGACACCATAGACATTGCATTCCAGATGCCAGGGACCCATTCCACAATTTTTACTGGCTTTCATTGAAGACCTCTTCCTCACGAGATGATGGCGTACACCGCTCCAACGCTTTCCCGATGCACTACCTCATCGACATGAACGACCAACTCGAAGCACACATGCTCAAAAAACACAAGCTTGGCTCTGCTGACACCTCTGGCCACCACTACCAGAGATGGCAGAAACTTGATGATGCCATACCACCAACTACCATTGCAAATACTGAATCTCGCAACCCAACCACTCAATTTGCAAATAAAGAGACCAGCAATTCTTTCTGGAAAAATTTAAGGATTACCCTTAAACAGCAAATATGTATAATGAAGTATCGTATGCCAGTGGATACACTGTACAATCAGAGTCATGCCTTCAATTTCATGCTTCTTCCAGTAATGGAAGATGTCCACTATGTGATGATATGGACCGCATTGACCACATACTCCTCAGGTGTTAACTCAACAATGAGCGGGATGCACACCAACAGACACGACGCAACCCTCAGTTTTTGTGTAAAAGCCCTCAGTAAAGGCCGGTATGGCTCATCCCTTATTGGTATGGATGACTGCAGCAACGTGAGACTCCTGGATCAGTGCTTAAGTAAGTGTACACAGGTCTCTGAAAACATATCAAAGAGCTATTCCAGACTGGGTTTTCCATAATGGTACTGGCTTCCCTGCCCGGCACCAAACCCGTCCTGATGCTATATTTGTACGCCCTCTTCCAGGCAGACAAACTCACCTTGATCCTTCCAAGATCCCTCCTCAAGACAGGGACATGCATCTTGTTGAACTGAGATTCTGTCCCGACACAAATCCCTTCATCACTCTTCAAGGTGCAGTGACCCAACATGTTCACACCATAGAAAGAAAGAAAAGAAAAGCTTCGCTATTAGACATCGTCTGACGGCATTGTTTGAGGGAAGGACCTACTTGCTTAAGACAAATCCTCACCGGTACCCAGGGTCGAACCCTTGACCTTCCGCTCCCAGGCCGCGTTTCACCCATTAGGCTACGATTGAAAGTCCGTAGGAGTCGGGACCCGGAAGTTTCCGGGGTAACCCCTTTCACCATAACCTGATTTAAAACCCGTGTTCAAGCGACAAAACCACCCTCCCCTGTCGACAGTAGCGAGAACATTTAGCTGCCCTGAAAGCATGTCCATGGGTAGCTGCCCTGAAAGCCTTATTGAAAGACCTGGACAGTGGGACGGCAGAGTGACCAATGCAGAGTTACCCAAGGGATCCTTATAGATGGTTTGATCCAAGCTTGTGAGTGTGGGTTGAGAGGAGCAAACATGAATGTCAGGTATTGCTTAAAATTCAAGTTAACGTGGAGCTTCCCATGAGCATGTGCTCCCAGGCTGTTGCTGTAGTTCCTTCCATACCATAAAACATTGCAATAGGGTGTTGGAGTTTCGAGGAGACTGTTTGCCAAACATCATGCAAATCTGCATTTGACCATCTCTCTCCTTGCACTTTGTTCTCTGAATATCTGGAGTTTCGAGTCAAACATATGAGCATTCAGGTTCAAACTTCTTGTGCCATTTTCTTAGTGCTTACTTGGAGAACCTCTGCTTTGTGTGGTACTTTGAGCGCATGTTTTTCTCAACAGTTGACATTTCTATACACATTTTCGAAGACTTGTCTAGTTCCAGATCTGTGTTTCCGCTCAGCTGCCCTCGTAGGCGGATATAGCGATGTAACCTTACCTTACCTTAAAACCCGCAGCTCCAGAAATCCAAGCAGGAAGAACGAAGTGACTTTAAACATCATTCTTACTGGTGTGGCCAGTACAATTTACAATGAGTTTACAATCGCACCCCTTAAGCTTGTAAATTTGGGCCTGGATAAACGAAAAGCCAAATCACTAGCAGCCAAGCTTAGGGACCATGCCATCCTAAGGTAAACCACTATCAAAAACACCAGACACGCTCTTTGCTATCAAGGGGCTTCTGGGAGGGGGTATGCTGGGCGCGCGGCAGCTGAGGACGGGAGGAGGAGAGTCTGGGCGTCTAGAGGTATGGCAAGCAGCAATCCTCCAGATCCCCACTAGATCCGTTTCTGGCTCTAGGCTAGCTGTGTCTAGTGTAGGTTTTGAGGGCCTTCTGGTGAGGCCAATGCTACCTTGCTAGCCTGCTAGCTTGTTAGTTAGTGGACCTTTCCTTAATGCACGCGGCCTCTGGCTTGCGTAGACTTTTCTTTTCTTTTCAGACAACCCTCCAGATCCACATCAGCTCTGTTTCTGGCTCCAGCCTAGACTGGCTGTGTCTCGGTAGGTTTTGAGAGCCTTTTGGTGGGGCCCTTGCGAGCTTGCTAATGAGGGAACCTTCCCTTAATGCACCGGCTTTTGGCCAGCGCCAACATTCCTTTTTTCTTTTCTTAGCACCAAGTATTCAAACAGGTGCGCAATCAGGAAATGTATGCAAAGCCAGTACACCCCATTGACGCTTAGTTGAACAGTGTTTTCTTAAAGTAAAAGAGGCCAAGCAGGTGCGCACACAAGGAAAATTTTGAACATACCCATCTGACATGAAGCAAGTCCCCCCCTAATAAGCAACTTTCATTGCTGATTATTTCCCCCTTGATCGACTTAAGCAACGCGTGGCACCACCATCACTTTGTCAAGCGGCACAGATCACGACAGCATGACCTATATATAATAGGATAGGCAGCAAACACGGAATCAGGCACCAACAAAGTGCCCATGATTATAACTCCGATGCATGTGGCAAGCTCAGATGAAGAGGTCCACACAACAAACTCGCAAATCTTAAGTGAGACAGGGTTCGGTGAGACTTGCTGCTCGTGCAAGCGCTGACTATTTGGGCTCCTCTGTACACGGTGGCTGTTGCCCATTGTGGACTATATCTTCTCTTAAGTGAGACTGGCTTGCAGGAGGAAAAAGGCTGACGGAAATGTGTCTGGTAGGTTGCACAGCAACTGATGGAATCCTGAGCAATTGAGAAACTCCACGTTGATTCAGC